ATGGAGCCAAAATACTAGCAAGAGAAAGACATTGGAAAAAGCGAATGTTAAGAAGAAATACACATAAAAGCTGATAAACAATGTGTAAACAAAAGAAGCATTGAAGCGAAAAACATTAGCGACATGTACTCGTGTCTTTTCAAATGACATGTCCCAACCCACTGAGCTTGAATTCGCCGAGGAGCAACAAACGTCAAATTTGTGTATACGGAATCTGCTTCATTTTCATTGTTTCATTCGTTTCTCTGTTAAAACTAGAATACCCGTAGCCTAATTTATAAACTTTATAAAATTAACTTAGACCATGTTTTCTTCGAAAATTTCGATGCAGAAAACAAATAATTGTAAAACTTAACCTGACGAAGAAGAACGCAGCGATTTTTAGTGAGATACTTTGAGACTTACATTCTATTATTTATTTAAACTTTTGTTTGATTGCTGGCCTAACAAGTTATGTTTATTTCTTGGCTTTATTGTCATTAGGCCCTGAAGAAGACCAAAATAAAAAGATCGAAACGTCGGCATAAAAATAAAAAAGGCATTTTTCTGATTTACTTGACTGTAAACCCGAATACAAAACAAACTTAGACACGTAGAAGGGTTGCCACGTATTTAAAAAATCAAATTCAATTTAATTAGGAGAACAAGGTAACTGAAATATTTATATCAATATGGGTATCAGATAAAATGAAAAAATTTGGCATATTTAGCGAGAAATAAGTGGAGAGTAGAGAGATTCCTGAGTTAATTTAGGAGTCCAGTAATTTAAAAGGAATGTAATCAGAACAAATCACTGATTGACAGTGTATGTATTTGTAATAAAACAGCAAATACGATGGCGTAATCCTATGGTTGACGTAATTATTATTTTAACGGGTGATTTTTTTGAGGTTAGGATTTTCATGCATTAGTATTTGACAGATCACGTGGGATTTCAGACATGGTGTCAAAGAGAAAGATGCTCAGTATGCTTTGACATTTCATCATGAATAGACTTACTAACGAGCAACGCTTGCAAATCATTGAATTTTATTACCAAAATCAGTGTTCGGTTCGAAATGTGTTTCGCAAACCCAATTGCTGCGAACGGCGACGAATCGACATTTCACGGTCTTCAGCAACACTCTCAGAAACAGACGCAATATTCTCTTCTGTACGCACTGTACGCATTCGTGTGGTTGGTTTAATGTCCAATAAAGTAAACTGAGTGCGAAACTTGGTCACAATCGCATTAATTGTTTGCTCACTTGGTCGATTATGTAGACCATAAATCGGACGTAAAGCGAACCGAACACTGATTTTGGTAATAAAATTCAATGATTTGCAAGCGTTGCTCGTTAGTAAGTCTATTCATGATGAAATGTCAAAGCATACTGAGCATCTTTCTCTTTGACACCATGTCTGAAATCCCACGTGATCTGTCAAATACTAATGCATGAAAATCCTAACCTCAAAAAAATCACCCGTTAGTTTAACTAAATTCGACTTTAAAAAAAGGTGGCAACTCTATTCCTAAAATTTNAAAATAAAAAAGGCATTTTTCTGATTTACTTGACTGTAAACCCGAATACAAAACAAACTTAGACACGTAGAAGGGTTGCCACGTATTTAAAAAATCAAATTCAATTTAATTAGGAGAACAAGGTAACTGAAATATTTATATCAATATGGGTATCAGATAAAATGAAAAAATTTGGCATATTTAGCGAGAAATAAGTGGAGAGTAGAGAGATTCCTGAGTTAATTTAGGAGTCCAGTAATTTAAAAGGAATGTAATCAGAACAAATCACTGATTGACAGTGTATGTATTTGTAATAAAACAGCAAATACGATGGCGTAATCCTATGGTTGACGTAATTATTATTTTAACGGGTGATTTTTTTGAGGTTAGGATTTTCATGCATTAGTATTTGACAGATCACGTGGGATTTCAGACATGGTGTCAAAGAGAAAGATGCTCAGTATGCTTTGACATTTCATCATGAATAGACTTACTAACGAGCAACGCTTGCAAATCATTGAATTTTATTACCAAAATCAGTGTTCGGTTCGAAATGTGTTTCGCACTCCCAATTGCTGCGAACGGCGACGAATCGACATTTCACGGTCTTCAGCAACACTCTCAGAAACAGACGCAATATTCTCTTCTGTACGCACTGTACGCATTCGTGTGGTTGGTTTAATGTCCAATAAAGTAAACTGAGTGCGAAACTTGGTCACAATCGCATTAATTGTTTGCTCACTTGGTCGATTATGTAGACCATAAATCGGACGTAAAGCGAACCGAACACTGATTTTGGTAATAAAATTCAATGATTTGCAAGCGTTGCTCGTTAGTAAGTCTATTCATGATGAAATGTCAAAGCATACTGAGCATCTTTCTCTTTGACACCATGTCTGAAATCCCACGTGATCTGTCAAATACTAATGCATGAAAATCCTAACCTCAAAAAAATCACCCGTTAGTTTAACTAAATTCGACTTTAAAAAAAGGTGGCAACTCTATTCCTAAAATTTTTAAGCTAAACCTTCTTAAACCTCTTTCGTCTGACTCCGTTATGCTGATACCTATCTATTTCAATTACCTAATTCCTTTAATTCAAGTGGAATTTGATTTTTTAAATAGGTGGTAACTCTCTGCATGTAGTTAGTTTACAGTTCGGTTGATACCCATCTCTCAATAATTCATTTAACTTATAAAAAAATTTTAATCTAATTTTTTAAGAATCTAATTTTTTAACACGTGGCAACTCTTTAAAAATAGAAACCTTCTTTTGTCCACAGGTGAAGTTTTTTCATTTGACGTTTAATTTTTGAAAATGGAATGAATCGTGCAGATCTCAAGGCACTGACAAAAAATGAAAAAATAATTTTATGCATTAGCGAAAAACGCATTACTTCAGAAAGTGCAAAAAATTAGCAGGTTTTCGTTTCTTCTTTTGAAAGCTAAAAGCCCGTACTATTTAATAAAATCATAAAACATAACCTATTTTTACATATATTTTTTATTTATTCCATTAAAATTTAGCATTTTTTGAATCTTTGTTTAAAAAAAATTGTTTTTTGTTTGGAACACCGCAGGGACACCCTGTGTTTAGTTTTATTCCAAAATTTTAATTCCTCTAATTCTCCACTATCTATGTGGAAACAACAAACGTCAAACCAACATTTTATTTCAAAGAATATTGTTTTAACATTTTTTTCTGTGAAGAGCTTACGCCTGGGTATGCTTTTATTAAAATTCTTAGTATAATATTTGTCGACTTTAGTAGCTTCCAGGCGGCATATAATTAATTTTTTAGGTAAATGTCTATTTAATTCTTTTTAGTGGATAAATTGTCTTTACAACAATACCAAATAAGTTCACATTGCAGCTAATGAATTTTTCGATTTATGCCCACTTAAGCGGCACTGTGTGACGTCAGGATCTTTTTTATGGTCTTTGAAATATGAAAAATAAATAATAATAATAATTAATGAAATAAATAATTAAAAAAATTATTAAAAGAATTCAGTGCAATGTAGAAAAAAAGAATGACTATCAAATTGAATAGAAAATTCTGTAGAATTAACGCCGGTATTTGGTGCTGAAAATGTCATTTTCAGATTTTATCATTGAATATCCTTGAAATTTTACAATAATTATTTTCTGAAAAATCAGATGTTAAGGACTAATATGCTGTTTATAAATTTTTTTATCAAATTATTAGTTTGAACACCAAATAAAAGAAAGATGACAGCTGCTTTCTCCGCTGCCACATTTCAACGTTTTGAACTATTTCAAAATAATTTAAGAAGTAAATAAGTTGCTCTTAAAATATCTGAAAATTATTGCAGAAAATGATAAGAAACATGAGACATTGTTTTTGACTTTAATTTTTCTTATTTATATCATGAAAGATATCAAACGTTTTAAGTTATGGAAATAATTTATTATAAATTTACACAAAAATAGTGATTTTTACGCCAATTGCCACGTTCATGATTTTTTGCATTTTTTGCTCTCTACGTCCGCCAACCTACATTTATGCTGCGTCGTTGAGTGTCCGCGCCTTTACTCGTCACGTAAAAACACATTTTTCAGATTATAACATACGTGAACGTACTCTTTATCCCATTCAACTTGTACGACTGACGTATCACGTAATTTTCTTTCGTATGGTTTTTGATCCGTTAACGGATGTTATGATTCTAAAGTGAAGATTTGTTATTTTGAAGAGGAGTAGGCATTTTTATTTCAGGAACCCTGGAGGGACTTAGCTCACATTACAAAAGTTTGACACAATATTTATGCTTGTGCACCGCACGATAAAACTAAAAGTATTTTTAGTCAGGAAGCCTTGAGTAACATAAATAAAAATAAAACAATTTGGCTGTATACGTTAACGCATTAATGTAAAGTATCAGGCTCCCTTATTTCCAAATAGTGACTCATATCAATATCCATTATGCACAACCATGAAGAAATACCAATTTTTAACAAAGTTGCACAAATTGCATACCTTTATCTCCTACGGTTAAGAAATAAAAGATACTAATGCTTTGCATGAATGCGTTTAAGAAGACAGCCGGGGTTTAAGGGTTTAATTCATTCTGAACTGAAAACTTGTATTATTGTTTTTTTGTTATTTATTTACCCCGAACGCCGTCGGGTACTCTGCTGGTAAATAAGATTTATATGTTTGTATAAGAATTATAAATACTTTACAGTGAAAACCTTTTTCTAAAACTCTGTGACTTTACAAAATTATAGAGGATCCCTTCACGTGGCCATATCCTAATACTTTTGTTATAAGTCTAAAAATTTTTTTTTAAATTGGTTAAGGTATGAAATACCCGAAAATACTAAATTAATTTACCTATTATTTAAGGCAGTATGATACGCTAATTTGTTCTGTACGGAAACATTTAGTTAAAATGAGTTTCAATAAAATATTATAAATTATATTTGTGTAAGAAGTTTTCTGATGTATAGTTTGGTATTTTTTTACAATATAAATTATGAATATATATAATAGCTTGCTAATGCAGAATATAATTGTGATTTTGTCACAGAGCCATTGAACTAACACTAGCGACTGCCGTGGACATCTGAGCATGTTGCGAATTCAGCTGATGTGATGGAGGTGCCGCTACTGCAAATGGATGATGGCTTATGTGATGCAGTCCCATGGTTGGCATACTTATGGTTGTCATCGAATGTAACGTGTGTTGAAGGTGAAGGCCAGGCTCTATTTTGGGCTTCGAGCTGATTGAATTTGGATGATTGCAATGTTGAATTGTCGTTGCCAGTGAAGAAGAATCAGCATTTTTTTTATTTTGTTTTCTTTCTTTAGCCCTGCGATTTTGAAACCAAATTTTCACCTGTCTTTCAGACAGGGAAAGAATTTGAGCCAACTCGGTTTTACGCCTTATGGTTATATAACGAGAAGTGCAGTATTCTTTCTCAAGCTCTAACCGTTGAAAGTCAGTATAAACTACCCTGTACTTGTCCTTTGTACGAGTTTTACCTGAAAGCAAATAAAAAAAAAATATATATTAGGGACTGGTGATGTTTTTTCTTAAGTTCCAAAGCAAATACTTAAATACATACCGTCACCTAAGGGTGAAAAGGCGCCAAGTCCATTTTTTTTAATTGTTAAGAAGATACGAAAATTCGATGTAGTTTCGTATTACCTTCCATTCTGCACCAAAAACTAAATTTCGAAAAAAATGGACTGCCACCTTTTCACCTTTAGGTAGAGATATACATATGTATTTAGTAGTTACATAGAACATATAAGTAAGTAAGTATGTATGTACCCTGCAGTGAAAAGCTGAACTAGCATCTACAAATTTCAGTTCATGAACTATTATTTAAGGATAGAAGTCATACCAGTTCGTTATGAACTATAATTATACCAGTTCCTCGTAAACTACATAGTTGGTATAAATTTTAGTTCGAAAACTGGTATTCAATAGGAAAGTCATACCAATTCTATAACTAATAATATAAAAATACAAGTTCTTTAAATAGTATTTGCTATAGCGACGGCCTACCATTTCGACGATTTAGAACCACTTATGGCCAATGCAAAGCTACCCTAATGATTAATCACCACGATTGCCAACAGTTTTAGTATTTATTTTATTTATTCAACTTTTAATTAGCACGAGTTTAATTTAACTTAAAATAGCACAAGTTTATTAGTAGTAGACAAATTCAAGTTCTGGAAAATTCCGATTAACATCTGCTAGACGTGTAGCGTTTGTTTTCCTGCACGGCGGCCAGAGAGAGGAGCCTCTTGACAGCGATCGCCACGCCGCCCTGCAATGGATATGCGGACAGTTGGCGATGGAGTTGCTACATCCACTCTCCCCCAAGTGACCATCGAGGATTGCGAAGGAACAGTCTTATCTCTCCTGGAATAGGTACGAAGAGTTACGTCCATGAATCCAGCACGTGGTTGAGCTGAAGATGGGTCTGGTTCCTCAATTCGCTTATTTTACTGATCCTCAGAGTCTTCTTTTGCTATGAACGCTGTCTTGAGCCTGTCCACTGACACACCTTTTTGAACCCTATCAACGTTGATTTTGAACACGTAGTCATCTTTCCGTTCTAGAACTTTGTCAGGCCCAGAGTAAGGTGACTCCAATGGCCGGTTGATGGCATCAATGCGGAGGAACACATGTGAGCAAGAGTACAAGTTTTTGAGGGCGAAGATCCGAGACTTCGTGCTATGGACCGTCGACGTAAGTCGCAGTCCTCTGATTCGCTCTCGAAATTTCACAAAAAAGATCTGGGGGTCCACTGACATATCCTCTGAGACGAAAAATCCCCCTGGAATGCCTAGACATATGTCAAACACGAGGTCAGTAGGTGAAGCGTTTAAGCCTTTTTTGAAGCAGGTGCGAAGTCCAAGGAGTACTGTGAGAAGGATTTCCGGCCAGGTGGCTTGCGCGTTGCACATCGGGGCTGCTTTGAGTGTTCTATGCCACCTCCCCACTAAACTATTCGATTGTGGATGGTAGGGAGGTGTTCTGATTCGATTGGCACCTATTGGCAGATTCCAAATGGGAGACCTGGTCAGTGGTGATGGTGAGGGGTGTTCCAAACTGTTGGGATCCAGTTTGAGGAAAACAGTGCACACGGTGTCAGCTGTCATATCCTTCAGACTGGCCATCTGAAAAACCTGTAAATAATGGTTAGACCGTACCTGAGCTGATTGACCACTGAAAGTTCGATGGGGTCGAGGTGCACGTGGTTGAATCTGGAGTCGGATACATCAATCTTGGATCGCTGACCCGAAATGCGAGACTACTCCAGCGCGTCATTCTTGATGACAGGCCAAATGTATTTCTGCTTGAGTGTACGAGCAGTGACTCCACTACTGGGGTGGGACAGCCCATGAACAGTGTCCAATTCTTCTCGTCGCAAATTTTTGTGTATGTAAGGTTCCCTCCTACAAGATGATATGTCACAAAATATTACAAAAATTTACCGTCGACGGATAGACGTTGTAGCTTCAAAGATGTGTTGTTGTTGCTGATCAGGTGCTGCAGCTCTTCATAGTCTTGCTGTTCCTGCTGAATTCTCTTGGCTCTTAGGATAGTTGACTTGTTGATAGTACTGATCCTGGAGAAAGCGTCTGCCATAGCATTCTCCTTTCCCTTCAGATAGACTATCTCGGCGGTGAACTAGGAGATGTAATAAAGAGGAGATAATTGACGCGTTGGACCTCTGAGTGAAGGCGTACAGCAGAGGCTAATGATCGATTTTGATGATGAATTGGCGTCCCTCCAAGATGTGACGAAAGAATTTCATACCTGGAAATATAGTCAACAGTCCTCTATCATACGTGCTATATTTCACTTCTGAAGGGCTGAGTTTCCTGGAGAATAACCCAACTGGATTCCAAGTGTCGTCCTTAAACTGTTCCAACGATGCACCTATTCCTCGGAGGCATCAATAGTGAGAGACAGCGGATCAGTTCGAGAGAGAAATGTTGTACGAGCTGCCGCTGCAACACTCTGCTTGCACTCTTCCAAGGCTCGCTTATATTCTGCTGTCCAAAGCACTTTATGTTTGTCCTTTGCTTGGCGTTATTTAAGAATGTGTTGAGGGGTGCTTGTAGTTCGAAAGCATTGGGGTATGACAAAATGGTCTTGGCTCGATCAATTGATAGTTTTTACCCATCTTTGTTGATGGTATACCGTAGGTAAGTTACCTCGTCTGTCACAAACTGACACTTGCTCTATAAATAGGAGCTTGTTATCACGGAAAATGCTGAAAACGCGCGGTAGGTGCTGGAGATGCTCGTCATGTGACTCAGAGACCACAATGAGGTCGTCAATGAAACAGCCAACGAAATCCACGCTTCTCAAGATGTTATCCATATGACGCTGGAAGGTCGTCTGGGTGGCGTTATGAAGGCCAGGGGCATCCCCAAAAACTCAAAAGGGCCGAAGGTGTCGTTACCGCTATCTTCTCGATGTATTCTGGGGCAACCGGAATATGGTGATATGCGCGAACCAAGCCAATTGTGGAGACAATTTTCTTACCGTGCAAACGTTGAAACAAATCCTCAGGAACAGGTTCTGGGTAGCGATCGTGAACGGTCTGCGCGTTGACTTTTCTAAAATGCCCAGTTGTACGCCAGCCTACCAGCTCTTTGGGCACAATGTGAATGGGGCTAGCCCATTTGGTACTGGACGGTCGTATGACGCCAAGGTCCAGAAGTACACTGAAATCATCTTTTGCTGCCTTAAGTTTATCAACAGATAATCTGCGAACCCCTTAAACTACTGGTGGTCCCGTTGTGAGCCACGCAAACATTATTGTGAAAAGCTGCAGTGACACAAGGCCTGGTGATGTCAACGAATTTATGCAGAAGCTTGACATACCTGTGGTCAGAGTGAACGTCTTCCATTGTTGAAAGTGACGTGAGTGAGTCGACGAGTCGATGCTTCTTGAGGTCTATTAGACTGAGTTTATACACGGAAACTTTTGTCGCCGCGATTTTTTACATTCCCTTTTGGTGTTGGTCGATACATTTACACACAGAAACTCCGCTTAGGAAGCTTTTTTAACGTTTGATTTTGTTTTCGCAATTCTTTTGCGATTGAAAATTTTAACACAAATTGAAGTACTTAAAACAGAAAATATGTCGGGAAAATGCAAATGGAGTCATTCACAAGTGGAAAAACTAATAAATTTAGTTCAGCAAAATGTTTGCATAAACAATATTAGATCGGCGGATTATTTAAACCGCGATATGAAGGCCCAAGCGTTCAACAAAATTTGTGATGAAATGCAGTTGGAGATGGGTAAAATGAATGTGGTTGAAGTAAAGAAAAAATGGAAGAATTTAAGAACGCAGTTTTTAAGGGATGCACGAGAGGTGTAGGCATCTAAGAAAAGTGGCTCCGGTATATGTGACGTATCCACGCCAAAATTATGGTGCTTTTCACAGCTGCAATTCCTTGAATCCCACACCAAAATTAGGGAAGGAAAAAGTAATTACGAGGTAAATTTACTCGCAAATTCGTCCATCATTTTCTAAATAAAATGATTTAAATTATAAGGATGAGGACTCTCCACCGCAGAGCCCGGAGTGCAGTTCACATAACGATAGTCAGACCACTGATGACTACAACGTGATCGTGGAGCCGCGGAGAAAACGAGTAAAGGTATGTATGCAGTATATCTATGTATGTTTAAATATTGTTCTTTTAAATTTTAATGCTTTATAACTTTTGACTCATTTCCATTTTAGAAAGATAGTGTATTTGCCTATTTGGCCTCGTTTAAAGGTAAAATATCTGAAAGGCAAGTAAGACCATTTGCTTGGCTAGGTAATCTGGTATCAGCTCAAATGGATGACATAAAGCCAGAACAACACAAGGATGCTGCATGGGAAGTTCAGTGCCTTATGCGGCAGTTGGTGCAAAGATCGAAAAACTGCACATCGTCATTGAAATCTTCTGATCTGTTGCAAAATGCCATGGAAGGACTTATTGACGATACAGATTTTGAATAATTGTGACTTATTAAATAGCATCTACTAACAAAAGGAACTTTTGTTTAAGTTAAACCACGTATGTACACTCATCAACAAAATAATAGGTATGGGACATTTTGACTATTTTTATTTGGCTTCTTTTAATAACTTATATTTAATACCATTCTGCCGTCGACGTGAGCAGACGTGCTTAACTCTCGATCTGTGAACTTTTTATATATAACGTGTAATTTCTGCCAAATAAAGTATTAAAAGAGTCAAAAGTCTCGTCTACATATAACGTGCGACTTTTTCTGTTCCTGCCACAAATTTAGTGTTGCACTAAATCTGCGCGCCTGATCAGCACCTCACCACCAAAGCCACCAACGCCTCAAATTAAAGTAGGTAAAGATGAGACTTGCTCTACGCCTGTATGGATTACACGGCTTGAAGGGAAAATTGAGAACGTAGTGGAACACATAACTGCACGACTGAAGGCATCTGAAGAACAGGTACTAAGTAGAATTAACGAGATCACAGCTGATCTGTCGAACATTAAGCGGAGTATGAGGGATTTCGCGGTAAGGCTCGCGAAAGTTGAGAGCGAATATGCGCAACTTGAGCAGCTGCGTAAAGATGTGTGTAAGCTCAAGGCTGAACTTACAGTGCACGACAAAAACAGTGTTTCAGCGGACATTATTGT